TCGCCCGGGGAACTGGGTAAATAAAAATTAAAATGGTTTAGAGAAAGTACATTCCCAAAATGGTTCTTCCTCTGGCATTCAAGATCAAATTGGAATTTGGACGAAAATATTCTCTTTTTGAAGAGAGGGAAAAAGAGGAGTACCCGGAGAAAACTCTATGGGAGCAAAGGAGAAAATTTTAATAATAAACAAATTCATTATAATCATTTAATCTACTTGTTCTTGTTCACTGAAAATGGAACGTGTCGTGTTTGCGTTTATGCGTAGATTCACCTGTTGACCAAGGTACTTGGAGTTTTGTGACAGAAAATCTCCTCCAACGTAGAGCTGCGATCCAGCGCTAAATATCTCCATTACTTTCTCTGACGATGAGCCCACCCAGGCTAAAGATTAAAACCAAAGTGACAATTACAATTTTGAAAATTGATCCTTACTCTTTGCACACACAGTAGTAGGATTTAGAATTCAAAGAGTTATGAACCTCTAAGTTAGTAAAAACTTTTCAGCACTTAGCTAAGTAAAACACCTATATGACAAACATCTACAAACTGTACACAACAGCAACAGAAATAGAAAAAAAAAGCAAAGATTACGTTTCAAAGTTGGTAAAAGCGCAGAAAAACAAACCGATCCCAACCAGAGACGTGAACGCCGTGCCCTGCTGTGACATAGCCTAAACACGATCGTTATAAAAACGGACCGTTGGTGAATGAAAATTTTGAATATTTCTTTCTGCAGTTGTTATATATTTTTTTTGTTTACTCTACAACTTTTGCCAATTTAAAAAGCAGTCTCTCTTGAAATTACATCTTAGCGATAATAACTTATTATCACAATCTCAGTGGCGTCAAGGCAACTTACCAGTCATCCCTAGAGGCAAAACCAATGCCACACAAATAAGAAGAAAGGATGCCTTCATCTTTTAGCGTTTGCTGTCCAGAAGAAATATTTTTACATACGTAAGACAAACCATTTTGGAGATCATACAACGTATGTTATAAAAATTCTCCTTGGCATTGATATTCTCTAATTCAAACATATTAGCAATTATATAGATTGTTAGTATAAATAGTAATAGTATAGTACCTTAATTCAAGAACTGAGCTCATTCGAGTTGATTCGGCCACAATGCAAACGTTACAAGTGAAATGAAATGAAACGTCTTTCTAAGAGGAGACACTTGCAAATGGGCTGATTACTGAAACTTTTATGACTTTAAAATGTTTAAATAATGCTCCCGATAAACAAGACCAAAAATGCTACAAGTACAAAAAGAGGAAATAGGTCATGTATGACCAATCACTGAATTAAGTACACGGTCAGTCATGTCATTCATCTGCAGGTCACTGCGTATGAGCGGTCACATGGCTAAAAACTCAAAATAAGGAATTGCTGAGATCATTCAAATCGTCTGCAGGTTCCTAATAGCATGACCTGCTCAGATTCGCAAAGCATATCTTTCGCTCCATTTTGAAATAGCACATAATTTTGTGTATTACAATCCATCACTTTTTTTCTTTACTTCACTACTTTCTCGAAGAAATTTGTCAATGCTGTGTTGTTCTGATTGTATTTATGATATTCACATCGTTTCTCCATATCAGCTATCACAGGTTGGAAAGTGGCAAAAGTCACAAGACATATGTAACCCAGTAGGAGGCTTTTGGTACTGGCTATGAGAGAAACGAACCGGATCCATTGCACTGCAGTTGGTACTAGTACCTGCGTTCAGTCAAATGATTTCTTTGTTGTAGTCTTAGTCAAAGAAAAAGAAAATAAAAACCCCCCAAAACAACAAAATAACAAAACTTCATTTTGTTGATAGTGCATCGTATGTAGTTTACTTCATCTTCCTAAAACGTCTTGATACCTTACCCTTGGCAAATTGACAAATTTGAATACCATTATCATGTGTTATTTCGATTTAGGACAGGTATTACACGTTTCATTCAGGCCTTTAAACAATTAAAGACCCTGTTATGTTGCTTCATTAAGCTCCATTCAAGTTTGACTGTCTGAACTCCCTTTTTTGGTTTACCAGACTTAGCACCATGCATAAACAAAAGCACCTCATCTGTCCTGTCCATTGAGAGAATGTATCGAACCTAGGGATCAACGGTAGGAATTACCGAGCAATATTGAAACAAATCATTTAATTGACAGAGTCAAAAACTAATACAGCACAGTTAAAAGTTACAAACAATCTGGGCTGATATAGTGTTTCTGTACTCATTGTGGCGAATCCTCTTTTAGAGACAGAGCCGATCCAGTTGAACACATTAACACAGCGAAAAATGGCTGCTGGGCGAATTGCACCGATGATTTTATTTCTGAGCGTGTTTGTGATAGCTCCGTATGGTAAGGTAATAATTGTTATATTCTGTGTAAAGGGGAATTACAGTTAATCACATGAGACGAAGAATGATCTAAACTAAACACCTTACAAAATGAGCTTCTAACACTCCTATTTATGCACAACATTTGTTTCATTAGTTAAAGCTGGCGGGGATGAGCGTAAATAAACTATTAATACAATCAATTTGAAAATAATGTTTTAAAACATTTTAGGAAAAGATAAAATATATGAATGATTGATTTATTTCAATGAAGTCGTTGAAAAGAGATGCCTATGAAATGAAAGCGAAAAAAAAAAAATAAGGGAAGGAGCCGATTAGATTTGTCAGTTTCACTGAAGAGATTCCTCCAGAAACTTCTAACTTTCACGTAAAAAACAAGAAATGTAAGTCATATATCCGACGGTCGGACACTCATTCCAAGATAAAGTAGATTCTACCACTAAGGATTTAGAACATTTTTCTAAAAGGCAATTTAAGCAGTGAAAAACTTCACCTTTAAGTTGATAGCTTAAAGGAGGCTATGTCAGCCCAGGGGCATGCACGAAAACAACTCGAAAGTTCTGTCGGAGATTTTAGAAGACTATTATCATCTGTTTAAATCTCAGCCATCGTTTGATAGTGAGCGTAGTTTTGTATTACGAATCGTTCTATGGTGTTCACAGAAGCCTTTTTGGAGGTAAAGTTTAAAATTTTTTGCCCTTGAAATTTCTTTTACGTGGATGTACAGTGCCCTCTTGTCAGTGGTCTTTGTACTGGCAGCGGCTGAAAGAGAATTAACGACTGCTTTCCGCAATGAATAATGTACGCTTTGATGGCAATTAAGTTTCCTCAGAGAACACAGAACCTTTTCTTTTGAGTTATTGTTCTAGCATAAACCAGGGAAGAAACGTTCCGCAGATTCTAACAAAATATCTCTTGTAAACGTCGCTGTACACTTCGGAGCTCTGTACGTGACAGAGAAAGTCATGCGCTAAAAACAATAATCTGAGATCAGGCCCAATTTTAGCAGCTTTCACACATTTTCTTTTAGGTGGTCGCGTTTCGCATTTCCCGCCAGAATTTCATTTACGAAGCGAAAAGAAAATAAATTCTGATTTCAGTAGAATTTTGGCCGATGAAAGTAATTTGCATAACCTCAGCTTTCCACCTGACATAGTCCCTCTTCATTCTCGACCCCTAAAGTGCTTACGGATTTGGACATGCGCGCGTAAGCTCTCTCTCTCTTTCCTCGCCATGTGCAGAAGAGCTCTGGGGTCGAGATCGCTCCCTTTTCAGTTAGTTTATCTGCAAATTTTTCAGTGACATATTAGTGACGTATTCTAAATTTCAGTTTCTGTCGTCATTCAAAGGTTTATATCACTTCTGAAGATGTATGTTGGAACTTACAAAACGTCAAGTTTAACTTAAATTTCTTTCTTTCAGAAATGCGACTTTTCCATTGCTCTTGAAGTTGTCGTTCTTCACGCTCATTTTATTCTTGAGATTAAGGCAAAAGATTATGATTCATCAGCCTTAATGTAGTCCTCCACAAAATAATGAGATTCCTCGGCAAAAAAGGTTAAATTTATTCTTACTACACTACTAGCTCAAATGTAATTAGAGAAACTAGAACAACACTGCTGTCACAAAACGGTTGTCGTCGACAAGTAAAAAGGATGAAGATGTCCCGTCAGCAGTAAATGTTGTTTTAGTTAAAATTTAGAGAGTGGCTTTGAGTTTGAAAGTTGGTGGCTGTATCTTCAACGGTCTTATAGATATGAATTATTAAAGCTGCCTGAGGGAATTAGCTACCCTTCCCTCTGTCGGTGCTGGTAGACGAAGGGACCTGAATAGCATTTCTGGAAAATACTTTGCATGAAGAACTTTGACTAGAAATAGCTTCTAGCTTTTTAAGTAATTATCTTCTTATGACCGTTTGTTATGAGTTGATCATTGTTTTTTTATTTTGCGAATTTAACTTAAAGGTACTGAGGGCATTATAAAAGCAGGAAGCCAAACAGGTGAGAATCTCGCCGAACATGCATGAGCTCCATCATGTTTTATGTCAAAATAAGATTCGCAAGAAGCACGAATTTGGCAGTCAGTTGGTGGTGAGGCCAGTTTTCAGGCAGTGGCTTGTCGCTTGTTTAATTATAAAGCCAGATCGATTTTTCCATCCGGACGTTCATTAATGCGCTTCGGTTATAAATCAATGGGTTATTCTCTAGTTCTCGAGTGTTTTTTTGCTTTCTTTTCTCAAAAAAATAAAATTTAAATAGACGTAAAATATGTCAATTGAAGGCTCACAATATGTCATAATATGTGCAACCAATAATCTCAAAAGGAAGGGAAGTCTTTAAAAACAAACACAGATCAGGACGCGGGATTATATTGGGCATATCGGCCAATCAGGTAGGTTGTTGGCGGTGCAAAGTCGTTTTCCCCTTGTTGGGCTGGATTCAACACTTGCAAAAAATTATGGCAAGCCGTTCCAATACTACTAGAGTTAACTAACATAACAAACCCCTAGGTAGTTTGCTCTTTGCCGCCAGGTGAAAATGATTTCAAATTTAATAGGTTTTTAGAACTTACATTTATTAGTTTAAGATTGTTTTACTTTTTCAAGTTATCTTGAGGTTCCAGTTTTAATTCTTAGATGTGAAGAGCCAAATCTGCCCATCCGACAATCCTTTTAAGCGAAGCTATGTTCGTATAAAGACCTTCGATGGAAAATACTGGCATGCCATACCTTCGGACAGTCTTTCAGGAAGTTGTTATACCGACAATTCTTTGTGTGTTAAAACGAGATGCTGTGGTAGCAAGCCTTCTGTTGGCCAAAGGGACATTACTGAACCTGGTAGACGAACCATATTTAAAGTTCACTGCGAACGTAATATGTGGTACAAAGGAAAGGGAGGTCATGTGGTGATGTTCGAATTGCTCAACTATGACGTAAGAACGTTTACAGCTTATACCCTAGCAGTGCATTCCTGTCACTTCACTTTTCACTAAATAAAACCTTTATGCCCTAATATCCACAAGCAAATCCTCCAGACTGATCTCAATACATTTCCTTAAAGAATTGGTTGGGAGAATTTGATTAAAGGTCAAAGCATTTTGGTATTGTTATACGAAATTGATGTTTGTCACTCTCGGGACTTAAAGGATTAATAGTGGAGCTCCAAGCGCGCAAAGAAAATTTGGTAATCCATGATTATCCATCCATCCCAGAAATTTTGGTAATCACGTGACCATACTCCCGACCGACCGTCCGTCCGTCCGCACCACAGCCACACCAATGTAAAGTAACTCAATTAAAAGGTAGCCACAGGCAACTCGAGGTGTTGGAGCGGAAAATCGCCACCCGGACTCTTAGAGAGAAAAAACAACAACAAAGTCGAGTCTTTTTCGACGAATTTCGTCGGAAGAAAACATGAAAATTTCAAAGCCGTTTCAAAAGCCAAACATTTCAAGTCAGATTTATAACTACAGAACAAGATCTGTCTCTAGCGACTCGTTTTATGTTAATTAAGTTCTCTAGAACCGATAAAATGTATGCCTTTTTCACGAGAAACGGTGCCCAAATTTGGAACTATATTCCTTATTCGATGAAAATACTTAAATGTTCCTCCTTTCGTAAAAAAATAAAGGAATTATTACTATTTCTTGCGGTCAGAAGATGATTATGTCGAAGTCTCCCGTCTAATTAAGTTATTTAATACTTTAGGTTAGCCTCTCTTCGTAACCGTTATGTACTTGCCTTGTTTTATGTTAGTTTATTTTATTTACTGTATAGTAGTGTCTTTACTGTTATTTAGTCCATTTATAGATAAACCTTGTACTTGTAATATGTCTTCAGTTCCTCCCGCCTCGATTAGTTTATAAGCTATTTTTTAAAAAAAAAAAAAAAGCGGCGGTGAGAAAATAAGAAATGCTAGCGGCCAGCCAAGTGAAAATGAGCGACAAAAAAATAAAAGAGAACGGGAACACAATGCAAGCAACAACATTTTGGGTGAGCACATACGACAATTCCCCCAAAAAAGAATAATGTGTATCTAGGAAGTGTATATAGTGCCGGAAAGGCGTGATAATCTTGTAGCGAGTTTTAGATCGTGAGTTTAGGATTTGCAACTAGGTTGTACAATCACTGCATTTGTTCCTAAGATACGAAACCTTCCTTATCATTGTTTCTCTTCACCCAGTCTAGGGTCGGAGTGTAGCAAAACTCCATACTTTCAAGTAAATCTTTAGAAAGAACCTGGGATAAAATTACAATGTGTGGATGAGTGCGTTTTCATCGCTTGTTTTAGCTCGGAAGTAGAATTTTATTGATTTCGCTTTTAAAATTACATTTTAAAGTCCAAGAATAGTTTTCAATGGTCTATAACGTTATGAAAACATAAAAAAATCTTGATATTCTTCATTTAACATAGGACAACGGGCGCTCAAAATACTATTTGTGTAACGCAGACGACGTGTCCGAAGTATTCCCAAAGCATTTTGCAACTCAAGATATTAACAACAATTTTGGCCAGTGTATGTGGATTCTTCATCAGTATCGAGGATCGGTTGTGGGTCTGGAACCGTTAGTCGTTTGGAAATGGACGAGTTTTGACGACAATGGCTATGGCCTCGTGAGGCACGGACTGTATAAAAGTGGCTTTCTTTGGTCCGAGACAGACACGGGTGTTAAAGTGGAGGATCGCCCCACGCCCTACTTTGATGACACTTATACCCTGGAAATGGGTAAGTTGATGATATGAACAGAACGAGTGCATGAACAAATGGCACTATGGGATGTTGTGGTTATTAGGAGGAAACCTTTAGGAAAACTGTTTCTGAAATAAGCACAATATCGTGATGAGAAGGAAAAAATATTGATGGAATATTTTAAATCGAGTCCACTTGGCTTGGTTGCATAAAGCATCTTGTAGGAACTTGTAAAGAGATTTGAACTGTCTTACAATGACTAATTTTAATTAGTCATTATAAAAGAGCCCTCCAATGTAGAATTTTTATAGAAGAGCCCTCCTATAAAAAAATATTTTTTTTTTTTTACAACTAGTCCCTTTAATAAGCATGAGCTTTCTAATAAAATTTCTTCAACGCTGAACAAAAATCGTATTAAAAGTTATCCACAGTCGTTATGAGTTTCATTGAAAAACGGGACGTTCTTTACACAGCCATAAAAGGCTTGACCTCCTTTTCATAAATTGGGCTATAATATCTACCACAAGTCATATAATAATTAACAAATATTGAATGAGGCTGATTATCATAACGCCCGCTGAGATATCCATAATTCATCAGATGATACGAAAGCCGAAATCAATAATTGTTTTATTATTCATTCAAAATAATTCCTAGTTTTAAAACAAGCTAAAACATGCTTACCTCCATCGATGTTGAGTTCATCTTCGATGGTGCACGTTAATCGGCAAAGAGCTTGGCAAGTTGAGGGAATAACGGTTGTTCAGTTCCGCAAATATTGTCTAAATAGCAGATGTCATTCGAGTTGTCTTCTTGCTATTCTTGCTACGTTTTTAGCCAATAGTTCGACGCCTATTTCTTCCCGGTGAAACGAGTGAAATGTTCCTCCATTTCAGTTCTCACCACCAAAGCAACTCAACCTCGTCCCCAGCTCTCGTCTTGGCTAACGATTCAATAATCCGGTAATTGCTGCACTTTTGACGTCATCGGTTCAAAATGGCAAAGTTCTTCTAAATTTGGTCAACAGTAGCTTGAATTGTGCGTGTGACTTTAACCAATCAGAAAAGGAGAATTTTGAATGAATAATAATGATACTAATTAACAATTATTGGACGAGGTTGAGCAAAATATCGTGATTTGTCTGTGGCGAGCGGATCAGTTATTTGCCTTAGCCTTCTGATTCGAAGCCGAAGGCTGAGGCAAATAATTGATCTGCGAGACACTGACAAATCACGATATTTTGCGATAACCGAGTTCAATAATTGTTTTATCATTCGATCACCGAGTTTCTTTTAATGAATATCCTTGGGAAGCTAAGCGATCTGCCATTTTCACGCAAGAGCGATCGCAAGAAGGAGAAAGCACGGTTTCATTTACGTGAGAGCAGAATATTATTTGCACCCAAACGCTATTAGACGGCATCGCGCATGAGCAGACCATTATTTGTAAGCAGTTATTTGCAGGTCACGTGGTGGGCTCTCGGCCAATGAAAAGAAAGAAAAATTTGCTTCGAATGATAATAATGATGATGATGATGAAACAACCTCGTCCCCAGGGCTTTTCCCTTAAGAAATGGGTTGGGCGGGAAAAGGCCCCGGCATCGGCTGGTCACGTGTCCCCTCGTACACCCTAAAATCCTGGGTGTAATAAATTAGCGCTATGTGAAAAGCTAAAATTATGCGTAACCTCACAGCGCGCGATCTTGGGCGACCTTTTATATCTCTTGACGATTAACGAAAAGTTTTACAAGATTTCCTTTTCGTCACAGATACTGGCTATGGTATTTTTTTGCTTTCCTCCGATTTCTATGAAGGGGACAGCGAGTAACACTTATAACAACGTTTATAGAGCGATATAAGTACATATAAATGACAAACAAGCTATCGTACAGGCATAAAGTTTGTACTGGAAAAGTTCGTTTTCGCGACTCTTCTGATATTTTATTTCATTTCTCGCGAAGTGGACCGCCGTACACAGTCTAGTTCTATTTACCTTAACTCTCAGCCATATCATAGCGACACGCGTTGGTTTAGACTTATCTTGTATGACCTGTATTTTTAAAAAATGGATTGACCTCTGCGATCAAACAACTGGCAACAAAGAAAAACTTGGGTCCATTTAAAATTCACAGAGCTGCAGTTGATTCCAGTCGATCGGTCAATCTTCTCTTTGATATAAGGAAAATCCTTTGTACTTATCCTCGGAAGAGAAAAGATATATAAGAGGTCTTCAAATGTTTCAGATCGGCGACCTGTCATCGTTCCTGGCTGGAGGGCTGACTTGCATCCGGTGTGGAGATTTGTTTGTTTCATGGTCGGGTTGTAGAGAAGACCAGACTCCATAGTCTCCATAAAGCATTTTGATGAACAATTTTGTTTCTATTACGGTTCAATTTGTTAAATTCACTGCAGATCCTGGTGGCAAAGGCCCGCATTTTTGTTTGACATGGACAAAATCACTCTCCGCTTGATTGTACAGTAATTCCACAGTCACGATGAATTTCTGAAGTACCACTCGCGATAACAGCTTGTCTCAACTCTGAAGTATTTGACATATTTTGTACCTGATACCGTAGAGCTTTGTAGCATTTGAATAATAAGCAAATAAATGGATCTTAAGCTTTTGAACTGCGCACACACACGAAAATATTAACATGGTTCGCAATGTTATTACTTTCCATTGTTGCTCAGTTCGACTTCTGTCAGCGCAAAGCCAGCGGGTTGCATATAAATTAGCTTCTCAGGAATATTTAGGCTGTACACGTGACCAGCCGATGCCAGGGCCTTTTCCTGCCCAGCCCATTTCTTAAGGGAAAAGCCCTGGGGACGAGGTTGGATGATGAAAATGTCCTTTCTTTACCCTTAGCAGTATTTATTTATGGGTTATTAATGCTAGACAGGCCGAGCAAATGCCTGAAACAAATAATTGACATGAAACTTAACATGGTTAAGAATTCTGCATACTAACCACTTGACTATTTGTAAGCGTGGCCGAGACAACAACAACAACAACAACCTTACAACCTTTATTATTTCACCCAACACAGAGTTTTACATGTTTTGATAGTTAACAAAGAAAAGAAACAGATACATAAAATTATGCATTATGAGAACAAAGATGACTAGGAACTAAATGAACATAGCAAAAATAGGTTGAGTTTGATCGTCTGGGTGAACTTAGTCCTGAATAGGACTGTTGTTGTTGACAGTAACTGACGTTTCGACAACCTGTGCGGTAGTCGTCTTCAGAGTCAAAGTGAGTTGTATCACGTCAGTTGATGGTATTATACTCTGGTTATTGACCTAATTGGTCAATCTGGTTGAGATGTTATTGGTCGTCTGTCAGTTAAGGCGTGATGTTATTGGCTATGAAGACTAGTAATGTAGTTGGTGCGTTTCGATCCGTCTATTGTCACAATCGAACAGTCATCTATTGTTAATCAAATTGTCAGTTGCCCAGTTGTTCTCTCGTAGTTAGTTAAATGAACATAAGTTTGCGAGCTAGGGCCTAGGTATAAAATGATACGTTTTACACAGTGGTGACAGATAAAACGGTGACAAAAAAGACAGCAAAACACACAAAATAAGTAAGTAAATAACACAAACATTTTACACTATATGGAGATTGAAAAGAACGAATATGGTCAACTTTTAAATTGTCTAATCAGTAGATGTTGTATTAGAGGATATATTTGTACTCAAGGCTACCGGTCTTGCCAAGAACAAACTCTAAAATCAAACTTAACGGGGGTAGGAATCCCAATTGGCGGGAGGCAAACCAATTTACAACACTCCAGGAGTGTTCGAGGATTTGAATTCTGGACTACCGTGAACAAACTATCTAGCGGTTAAGGCATGATTTGTACTCGGGGGAGTCATGGGCACCAAATTACTCGAGTCCAGCGTTCTAACAGCTCGCCAAGCTGCCAGCTGCTTGATGTGGCAAGGTTACATAATGAATATTCTTGATTTACTAGTGAAGAAATAATGTTTGAATTTTCAGTTCCTCAAGAATGTCTAGATGTTACAGATTCCCAAAAAATCCAAGCAGCTAAGACTGGTGCCACCGTTGCGGAATGCGAGGATGCCGAAGACAGATGTTTTATGAACAATGGCTGGAGAAGTTCGCGCAACCCTGATCATCCCTCGAGTGCCGGGCCTAAATGTTTTTATAAAAAAGGTTTGAGTTTTTCTTACTCTCCTATTTCAACACTTTTTGCGTGGTTTCGTTACAAGTGAAGTCAGTTGTCCCCTCAGATATAAAAGTTAACTATTAAGGTCCAACAAATCTTGTCTTCTTAAGAGCAATAGTTCGATCGATTCCGCGCAGTTATGTGCCAAAAAACATCAGTAAGTGTAGCAGTAAAAAATTTGCGAAGCCCAGTTTGTTGATAACATTAGAACAAGGCTTTATGGGCAAAATGTTTTATTCCTCATTTAGAAGTGCCGCAGATGTTCTTGATTAAACAAAATTTCATGTTGCAGATACACCGTGTTTTCAACCAAATGTTGCGAGCCGCCAGCCTTGTGAAGATGCAGAAAACACAGGGACACCAGAGAAATGCGCAACAGCAAATGCCAACTGTTGTTACGACTATGCTAGAAACACGTGCTACCAGGCATTAAAGCAATAATTAATTTATGAAAATATTATGAATGTATGTACTCTTTGACTGTCAAGTTTTGCATCCCATTTTGTGGTTAAATCTATACTCAAAAAAGTTAGAGAGGAAGATGGTGTAGGTATGGTAGATTCTGGTCTTTTTCATCAATATCTCTCCATGCAATTTACTTAAGGAATAATAATGAAAATAATATATTAACAAGCGCCTGACAGGAAGAATGACAAAGTTATTTTTTGTGGGTATGGTGGGTCGCAGAGCAGCTAAGAAGATCGACGTTCTTCCGGAACTCCGGACTCGGCTGCCAAAAAATTATTCATGTCAAGAGTGCCAGTGCTTGACTAGCCTGCGGTACAGTGCGATCGATTATATTAGGGAGCTTAAGCATCAACGACTGCGACGGCTACGAAAAGGGCACTAATTGGAGGAATC